ACACCTCATAGATTCTCTTGACGTTTGTTAGACGTATCTTTGAAATGGCCTCTTCAGGGGGAGAAAACAGATGTAACCACCTGTGTATGGGACTAAAGGAACAAGTTCATCTTCTACATGGAATGTGTTTTGTTCAGTTGTACTGATCACTTGAAGGACAGTGTTTTCTGTTCATATGTTTTATATACTGTCAGATTTCTACATTTGTGTTTCTGTCCTTGCTTTTCTCACTGGTTTGAATGAGGCAGGACTCGGATGGGAAAAAAAAGGAGACGTCTTGTTTTGCACCACAATATGTGAATCAAAAGGTGTTGCATTGTTTGATCATGTGACCAGGCCACTGTCAACCGAAGCTGATCAAACCACACTCACAAAGTTAAATCATGCTTTTAGGAGTTTTAAGCTGTTCCTCTGAAAATTACAAACCTAAAAGTTGTAAATAAGGATAAACATGGAAGTGTATAAAGAATAATTGACTTGTAACTGCCGCATTCATATTTGCAACAAAAATTAAATACTAACAACTCTTTTTTCCAGTCATTCACTCGATGTTAAAAGCATAAATTCCTATACAGTAATCCCCGGTTTAGCAACATTTGATAGGGCGCCCCTATCTCACTTCCTGGGCCTTTTCAGTGAACGCAGAGGAAGACGGGGCGATGCATTACATACAGAGTGCGTGTCCTGCTGATAGAGGCCTCTATCCACACCAAGCTCAGGTGTCGTGTCCTCCATACTTTCTCCATCTGTCTGGGCCTCCTCCTTAAGCCCCTCGGAGGGAGTATCAGAGAGTACAGAATTTAACATGTGTCACACCGGCTTCCATTAAATGTTTTACTGCCCCAAATAAATCCAGATCAGCTGTTTAATGTCTAAAAAAAAACATGGGTTCTTATAAAAGTCTCCAACTTCCATGTATCATATTAAAGCCACAAGCCTAAATAGCAGAAGCAGCCTTTGCTGCTGTCCCTTCGCCAACATTTCTGGACAGAGATTTGACTAAATCAGCCTCATAACCTCTTTTTGTAACCAAATGGCACGTATTCATTGCTGCACAGAGTGATGTGCATTTTTGGACAATGCATCACTTTGAGAGGTCGGTCACTATTTCAGCATAATGTGGAAACAGGTTGTGTGTATTAAAGAGTCGAAAGAGAGGAGAGGAGTAGAGATATCTAATAGATCTATGGAGTCCCTGTCATGCTGGAGCGGAATTGGAAAAACTTGCTAAATAAGAAAGTGATATTTCAGCGGATGTTAACGCACATGTAGGGATGTGTTTATGAGTGTGTGTGCTTGTGTCTGTCACTGTATTGTATGGTGTGTGCGTGTGTGTCTATGTGGGTGTTATTGCCGAGGACAGTGCAGAGCAGAGCACAGCTTAATATCTATGTTTGACATAGAGGCCCATTAATAAGGGTCTGATCCCGGCCCAGTGACAGGACTGCTGACAGAGGAGGATCATGGGGAAGAATCATGCCCTGCTGAGGGAGCCTGGGCTGCAGGTAGACCCATTCTGCCTTCCCCAGGTGTCATTACTGATGCTGGGGAGGGAGCAGAGGAGGCAGGGCCACTACTGACATCTACATTAATCACCCCTCCACATATCAGCCCCCTCCTCTATCCGCACACCGGCGCCCCCCACCTCCAGCTCCTAATCATCCCCACGCAGAGACCCAAACCCAGTAAGGGGATACTCAGCCATGAAAGATATCCAGCTAAGAGCTCCCCAAATACCACTCTGATCTGATCGTGAGTGATGTTGCTACCTGAACCTCTGACCTGGCACACAATTAAAAACACTTTCCTCTATCTCCCAGAGACGCAGAGGAGAAACGGCTTCGCTGAAACTACACATTTTGTCTCTGTCTGCCCGTAATTCATTGTTTGCATTTGAATTGCACCTGAATTGCGTGCAATTAAAATGCAGAAAATGTCTGTGCTGGAATGTGTGTAGTTTCCAAACCCCCATAGAACGCGCTGCTGCTGTACACACTCCTGATTTACTCGTAGATATCACCCTCCCCACTTGGGGACCTCCTATTGATCCTCAGCTGTGCTTTTATCAACATAAAAACAACACTGCAGCACTTTATGTTCACATCGCTTCACTTTCGATTGAACCACCAGATTCGTAATCTTCAACAGGGAAAATTAGAGGATGCAGTAGTTAAAGGCCACAGCACTTCATATAGCTTTCATTGAATCACAAGCTGCTGTTTTATCGTTAAATATAAGGAATGATTTAAGTCAGTGGACTTTGGGAATCAACTTGACCGATTGCAGTGGTGTCACTTGAGAAGTGGATGAGGATGGATTGGGATCCAGCCCAACAACCCTCCTAATGAATGGCTCCACCCAGGATTCATCGATGAACAGATGTTCTGAGAACAATAATGGGGAATCATCTGATTGATTATTAGTTTTGATCCAATTAAAGACACATAATTGCACAGATAAGTGACAGTAATTGTGGCATGATTGGTTTGGGTTAAAATAAATTATCCTTTACGACATCTGTTGGTAAAATCAAACTAGCCTTCGCAGGAATGGAAACCAAATAATTATAATTGCATATGAGACAGTTTTTTTCTAATTCATGTTTTTATTATATCTGGTTTCATGTTGTTGATGCAGCCGTTCCAAACCACTGATCATGCTTTGCTTAACCCTCAATGACGTCACACTCAGTTGAGTGTGGTTACGCCTCATCTTGCGCACTGTCTGTTTGTGTAATGAAAGACGTAATCAACCCAGAAAACCCAGTTTGTCGGTAATATTGTGAATGTCACCCTAATAAGAGATCTGTGACATTCTCCCAACAGTGGAACGAAGCATATAAGCATCTCATATTATAGTGACCGTGGCTTAGCCCCGCCATCTCGTTTTTATGTGGTGTGCCTTGCCCTGAGTAAACGCAGCCTCTAGTTTAATTAAAATAAATCCACTTTCAGCTAATATTTAGAATGTCACTGCCTCTGCTACAGATACAGGGATTGGAAGTGGTGAATAAAAGGCTGGGCTTGAAGGAGAATTACACTCTACTTACATTTCCATCAATGAAGCCAGACACTCGGTTGTTTATGTTTGAAGTGGGCTTTTCTTCTTAGTAAATGACCTTTCTCCAATTCTCTTTTTTTTTTTTTGCCACTCTTTTATTTCCCTCAAACCGTCAACAACACTGATGACACAATAAATTTCTGCTTGGCTCTGTGCGTGTGTGTTTGTGTTTGTGTGCGTGTGGTTACACACATCTGGTTGAATCTAGGACACTATGGAGGCCCTGAGAAGACAGCATTTGCATGCAGCTCACAAACATATCGGGATATGAAGACAAATCACTGTGTCTGGCCAGCTGACAGTGCTGCCCGCCTGCAATGGGAGCGAGGCTTCCAAACTTGCAACATGTCACAGTTCCCAGTAAGGCCTTTATTGGGCGGGCTCGAACACGCAGCTCGACAAACAAACCATGAGCAGTCAAAGCTATTATTAAAGGCAATAGAAGTGGTTTCCTTTGCCAAAGCCATTCTGTCATGGTGTTAGCCTCCCTATGTTTTATTGGGAGAGTATGGTTTCCACAGACACCTTCAGGGCTCTACTGCAGGTTTCGTAGGCTTTGTTCTTTGTGTGACTTTGATGTAAATCATAAAATGGGAAATCTGAACCTTTTAGGTTTGCGTTCCCGCTGGTGTTGTGTCTGTTTAGGTGAAAAAAACAAAGGGAGCAGCTGGTGAAATTATACCTTACGTCATTTGGTGTGCTCTTATATACAGATGTGAATTTAATGTTGTGTACAGCTGGAGTATTTGCTTAATGTAAGGTCACAATAAACCAGTATACTCTGTGTGGGGGATGAGACGGTGGATTAGTTTAGTTGTTCAAAAACTCCTTGACAAAATTATTATCAGTGGCTTTAAGTGACACAGGAAGTTGGCTTTCTGTAGTTTAATACAATTCAGTTTTGTTGTATATTACATTGGGCTGAAAGAGCTCTCCCTTAGAAATCTTTCTAATTATCCTGCTGAATACAACACACAAATGGAAGTGATGGCACAATTATGTGATAGTTCCTTTTTAAAATGTTGCTGTGGCTGTCTCCTCTTATTACACCTCTTAATATGAGTATTAAGAAGCCTTGTGACACGGATTGCGATGGCTGCCACCAGTAGGGGGAGCTCACAGCTCACTCTATATTAAACTGGTGAGTGGCTATGAAAAGGACTGCAGCTGGGCAGTGGTGCAGACCACATACACATCCACACATCCACCTCTATCTCTGCACATCTTCATGGACTGCCTCCTGCCTTCTGTGTCTCATTATATTTAATATTTGATTCTTCACAAATTGTTTCCTGTGTGTTTCTGCACTTTTCCCAGATGAAGACACTTGTAATGCAGAGACGCTGCCTGTCTCCTCATGCTGGTGCAGGGCCTCGGTCACTCATTCATTGATTTTATTTACTCTTCTCCTCTACTGTTTAGCATTTCTCAACTGTTCATCTTTAATATGCCATATATGGGGTCTATTGATCATTGGAAATTGCATTTACAATCACCCTATGTGCAGTGCACTTGTGCTCTGATACCTGTTGGCTTTTTTTATTTACCAAATGCAAGATGCAATGCTCTGGATATTTTCAGGTTTATTTGATCTCCAGTATATTGCTCACATTGTGTAGTAAATAATGAATTGATATCCTGCAAAGATTTACGTGAGGCTATAAAGTAAAAACCTAAATGTGAGTAATAAATACTTGGTGTGGATTTTATCATCCAGCTCCACTGCGTCAATGTTTATGACTTTCCTGTAGAAACAAACAGTGCAGCTTAATTTTTGTTTAATGACTTATTTGGACTAAGCTCCAGACTCTCTTTACTTCATTTCCCTTCAGTCTCAGTCTCTCTCCCCTCCGGTCGCTGCTATCTCCCCGCATCCGTCCGCGTTGCGTGCGTGTGTGCGGATCCTCCGTGTGTGGAGCTCCAGTGTGGCTCCTCAGTGCGTTCTGGGCTGCAGGCTGTGCCGGGTGCGCAGAGGCGGTGCGCTCCTAGCGGCAGCACTGTTCAAACCAAACAGACAGAAAGAGAGAAGAAGGATGTTGAAGTGACTTGTGGCGTGACTGCACATTTACACGTCTATATTCCTAAGCACATGGGTCTTCTGGGAGCTGGTTCCCTGTGTAATAAAACAACTTTTTGGGAGAGCGCGAGTTGGAGGCTGGCTGTGACCATGTGTTGAACTGTGGAGAAGATTGTTGGTTTTTTTGAAAGGTGCCAAAGACGCGTCTCAAGGAACCGAGGACATGCGGAGAAGTCCATAGCCTGTAGCTGCGTTTGTTTTCCAGCGTGGACTTCCATTCCTTATCCGATTCCCTGTGTGGGCTTCATCCTGCCGGAGAACTGGCACAGATTGCGAATGAACTCACCGGGCACAGGCGGATAATTGTACGCAAACACGGAGAGTTTGGTTGGAAGGTTTGCTGGATATTTACAGCCCGAGCAGCTCCGGGTGACCTGCGGTTCAATGGATCCTCTCTGTTTTTGGACATTTAAACTGGCTGTTGTCAGTGAGTAACCTCTGCGTGTTCACGCCACAGAAACACGGAGCACACTCTGCTGTCATTTTTTTTTTTTTGGACATATTATTTTGTGCGGTGAAATTGGAGGATTTGTGCGCCCGCCGTGGATGTTTAATATGCTAGTATGGGTCCGCTAGCGTTCATCCTCGTTGGTGGATTACTGTATTTTCAAGCTGATGGTAAGTTTGACACGTTTTGTCGAGTTTAAACTTCTCACTTGTCTTCAAATGATTAGTTTCTGTTTGGCACAGACTTCAAACACACCCATTAGGACGCCACTCGTCCACCTCAGCAGTGTTCATTAGTGCGTAATGTGCGTTAATGTTGTTAGAGGTAAGAAATATATATTCCATCAGTTCACTGGGCTTTGATAATTAAAAGATTATTAGCTGTAATCAGGGGATACTGTTAATAACCATGAACCGTGAGGATGAGATTTAAATCCATGTTGCACCATCTCAGGAGTTGGTGTCTCCTGTTTTTTTTGTTTTTGTTTAGTTTAATTAGATTTAAACTCATATATAAAGAAGTTGATGAATTCAACTCTTCCATCCACTGCAGCTATTGTCTTTCAAGTGTCTGTCAAGAGGTCAAAAATGAGGATAGAGATTTGCTTTATCTTCATATGCAACAGATAGAGGAAGCAGCACAACACCTGTTTTTGAGTGCTGAATATTTAAATAATAATATATGTTGTAGGCTATGAATCAGTTAGGAATTTGTTTTGCAATATTCCTCTGAGAGGGAGATTATACTACAGTGTGAAGCACAGATATCTGAGTAGAATGTCAGGTGCTGTTGCACTGGCTACAGGTTCTCTCTCTCCAGAGGTGGAGGCAGCGTTTTGTTTCAGGATTTTTTGGGGGGAATAATGGCAAACAAATCCCAAACGTGTCTGTGTTTTCAGGAAAAACACGAATGTCAGACTAAGTACTTTAACACAAGAGGAAGTAGTTTAGTTTCCGACCTGTGGACATCAGGAGCTTCACTGGCTTGTACTGTAGGTGTTGTAGTCATTCTACACTGTCTCTGCACTGCTGTGGTCATTTGGCTTTAGGATTTCAGTGCTGCAGTTGTGCCCAGGGGTGTAAACTGGCTTAAACCCAAACTGGGACAATACCTCAATCAATTATTCCCATTTGTTTGATTAAACTTTAATAATGGTGATCTCTGATGACTGCTGCAGCCAAAAGCTTCAGCTCTTTTCGTCCACTCTGCCACTGACTGCAAAGTCAGCATTTAAAAAAAAAAAAAAAAAGAATAATAATTTTACAGGGCCTTTTTGGTAATCGCCTGCCTACAAGAGAATTGGTTTAATAGGAAATCAAAGCACGTCAACTGCAGATTTAATCTGATGATTTACGTTCATCATCAAAATGGCTGGGTGGGTGGGGGTCTTCTTGGTCAGAAATCGTGACTGGGATTGGTCCAACCTGTGACTGGTGGAATGATGGGATGGGCAAAAATGTATCACTTTTTTAAAATGCATCCAATCTAATTTTAGTGACGCTTGTGAGTTAGACACACATTTGTCTCTGTGACACACACAAACCTGCACAAACAATGAAAACCTCGTAATGAAAAACAAATAATCATAATAATCCTGTCCTGTCCCATCCTGGGCAATTTAAATGCTCGAGGTTATGAGTGATGAGTCACACTCTAGTTTGCTTTGTGCTGTTTGTACAAGTTAGCAGTACGTAAAGCCGAAGTTTTCTTCACACTGAATGCAAGAGCCTGCAAGGCCCCGTTTTTCTTTTCTTTCACCTGTCAACTCCCGCTTTTGTCCTTCACAGCTGCGAGTTTTGCTTCTGAGGCTTTTGTGGTTCAATCCTTGTGGCTTCTGTAGTTAGCAAATCAAGTTCTCTGTGTGCTGGGGTTTGGATATTTCTCTTTTTATCCTTTTTCTTTTGCAATTTCTGGCGTCTTTCACTCTGCTCAGCCAAACCCACTGGTTGCTAAGCAGTGGCTGATGGCATTGCTGGCTGCCCGGAGGGAGAGGGTGCACATCTCCCCGGGAGCTTTGGATCTTCCCAATAATTTGCCTGTCACCCTCCTCCCCCCTGACCATTTCCTTACTTCCTCCCCCGCTCCATCCAGCAAAAACTCACCCATCACCCAGCCCTTTTCAGAGGTAATCTGAGGGTCCTTATAGAGGGAGGAGCTTACTCTAAGAGTCCACTTAGGCAGACAAAAAGGTCTGGAGTTGTATTCACTGGGCAGCGTAACCGACAAAGCCAAACCTTGTGAATAGCGTCAGTCACTGTTTAGTGTGCTGTGATTAATACTGCTAGTGTGTAAGGCAAGGAGAGAAAAGGTGAGATGAAGACAGAATGGAGGATGAGAAAGTGTGTTGGGTGTTGCCAGGGCTGGGAGAGAGAGAGGGGAGGGATTGTTGAGACCTAACAGGGTTAGCTAACTCTTTTAAGAATGAGACTGATTGCAGTAGGAGATATTTCCAGGAATACAATGGTCAGCAGCTGCCTGGTTATCTCTTAAACTCCGCTGTGTTGCTTTTGAAGCTGGATTAGAAGACGCTTTGCATAGGGAACGTGCACTCCTGACCCTGTGCTATTCTGAGATCTCCTGCATGCTTGTGTCTGATGTAGGACCTGGTGACATCACGCCCATCCTGGGTGACACACTGAGAGGTGCTGAAATATGTTTCCAACTTTTGGGACAGTCTAATCTGTCTGAAAGGCCGTGGCGACGACCACTCTGCTTGTCTGATGCCCTAGAAAGTGCGCAGCCCTCTCTCTTCCTCTGCTGTGGTTTCACATGTGCTAAGTCAAAAGTAACTGAAAGTCAGAAAGTGTCTGAAGATGCATGGTCATGATTGAATGTGAGAGGTTTGAAGTACTTCGCTATAATGCAAAGTAAACCCAGATTAAACTCAGTCAATGATGAGGCATGCCATTGTCAAGTCATTGTGTGAGAGCCACTGCAGTGTCTCGTCCACAAATGTGATTGTTCTGCTCGACTTGCCTGAGTTTAGGCCGCGTTATTGTAATTGCGGTTCATTTGCTGGAATGGGCTCACTGTAATGATGAACCTTCATCTGAGATCTACAGGAAGCCCTTCTCTACTGTCTCCCAGGGTCTCATCACTGTCATCGAAGCCACTTCCCTTTACATCGAAGGACACCGCTGTTTATTCTTCGATTAACGTCAAACATTGAGTGGAGGGTAAAGACAATAACATTCAAGGCGCAGATTGCAAGAGGAAGTAAATGAACATGGTAGAAAGAAATAGGATGAGTGTGTGTACGATGAAAATCAGTTTACAGGTCTCTGTGTGAGTGTGATAAGTGTTACTTGACCAATGACATGGGCCTGTCAACTACAGTGATACTTTAACGGCCAAGTGTGGTTACTCTGCGGCTTGCGTTTCAGCGGACTTCAATCCCACGCGTGCAGAATCGACCGTGAGCAGAAGCACAGCCCTGTGATCACTAAAAAATAAAAAAGATTCACAGCTGTTTTAAGTTCTGGCGTCACGCTGGTCAACGCCCTTACTCTTTTTTTTTTATAGTGCAGAAGTGGGAGAGAGATGGAGAAAATGTGGCTGACTTCGCTGTGAGACCAGCAGAATGCAACGCAGGCAATATACCACTTCTCCCTGTTTTACCTCCGCTTTATTAAGCATCAGCCAAGCATACCCCTGACATTTACAGAGCAGAAAAGAGGCCTAATGCCTTAATGTTTCTGCCCAGAGAAACAAAGACAAAGGAGGATGAGAGAACACAACAGGAAAATAAGAAGGTTTCATGCTAACAGCTATATTGCATATATGTGTGTATATATATATATATATATTTACTCCTGCATGATTTATATTTCCAAACATCCTCATCCTCCTCTCTCGTGTCTCACGTACACACACATATTATCTCTGTGTCAGTTGTCGGTTTGCATGAGGGTGGAATTCAAACACTGAGGGGCGGTTGTGCACCTGTGATGGCAGCATAGTGGGAGTATATGTGGAGTTAGGAGTGGGGGAGGAGTGAAATGATGAATTGAGCATGCTGACTACAAGCGGTGAGGGACTTCACCTGTCTCACACACCTGTACTTACAGAATACACACCTGTGCTTACCCTCCTGGGCCCAGATACACAGAGATAATCCTCGCTCTATTCTCTCACCGCCTTGTTTCCCAAGCAGACGACTGAGAATTCGATAGAAGCCAACAGCAAGAAAATATAATTACTCTTATACAATCGCTGATTATAAGATGATAGTGAACAAATCCTTGTTCATCAATAGCAAATACCTAGTCTAGCAATTAAAATGTGAACCTCCTCAGTGTACAGATTACTCAGTTACAGTCTGATTGTGAGGAGAATTCTTATCGCCAGAAAACTTGAATATTTAAAGCGCACGCCGAAACGCAGACAGGAAGTCAGGATGGAGCATAACACGAGTCTGTGAGTTTTTAAACTCCCTGGTTCCCCTATAACAGCGTTTTCATGTTTCACACTGCACGGAAACGTGTTTGGAGAAGCATCTAATTACTCTGTATCTCGTTGCCTTCACTTTGCCCTCTGGTCAGCTGTTTCACAACAACCTTCAGATAGAGAGGGGGTGGTATGTCAAGGTTGAGTTACTCACATACATACATACAACTACAGTAATTATACATAATCATGAGCGCAAGACCACACACGTATTGAAAGCACGCACAGAAGCATTCAAATCTATGCCGGCGATCATGCAAGGCACTTTAGTGGCATCGAGTATTTATGATTCAGGAGGAGCGAGTAAGGAGACATTAATGCACATCAGTTAAATGTACTGTATTAATTCACAGAATTAACCACTTCAAGTCATCAGTCGATGTACCACCACTTTCCTGCTTGTTTGTCTTCTTTGTGTTTTCACTCAGTAACCAACCTTTTTATTTGTCATTGTCGAGAGTTAGCGTGACAGTTGTACCTGAGTGTCTCACCAGTGTCTTGAGAGATGAGGTCAGGTCTGGTGATAAAAATGCATGAGCTGTCTCTCAGTGTGAGACATGTGAAGATGGACAGCCAGAGCACGACACTTGAGCACACATCCGTCACACACAGCAGCAGTCCGCTGGCGGAGCCGCTGAATGCGTGTCTTGTTCCACCATCTCCATCTCGCGGCACGGCCTGTGGATCACTCAGCCATGACAGCCCGGTGCCTTTTCTTCTCCGT